AAAATTTTGATGCCAGAGCTTGCTTGGTTACTGAGTTGAAATATCCGGACATACACACACACACACACGCAAGGATTGCCACAGTATGCGCATCTGCATTTGCGTATATGCAAAAACGTATATTGTCGATGGATTGTCTGTGTGCGTGTGTGTATGTGTATATATTTGTGTTTCTTCGTAAGTACCGATTTTTCATCTCAACATCTACAAAAACTACAAGGCTGAAATTTTGAGAACTTATGTGCGTGTACGTGCAACTATCCCCAAAATCGGACCTCTTGTCCATGTAATTCCCACGTACGAGGTTGTCAAGTTTTTTGCAGGTAACTTGTTAACTCAAAAACTCGAAAAGCTAGGAAGCTGGTATTTTAAGGGGATGTTCCCCGCCCACGTAGGAATTAATGAGTTTAAGCCCAGCTATCAATTGTGCTTAGATCCCGCGTGGGAATTTTTGACGAGTAAGTTGTTAACTCGGAAGCCAAAAAAGCTAGAAAGTTGAAATTTTAAGGGAAGCAACTGGATTTTTTTTCTTTTTTATTTTTTTAGCTGCAAGCAGCATGTGCCGGAAAAACAGTGCCCTTAGCAACAAGGGTTTGTGGAGAACTGTGCAAGAAACTTACCTTCGCACAGGCGGTCGCTGAGTGCGTTAGCCAATCATATTTTTTGTGTGAACACATGTTGGCTGTGTTTTGACGTTTTTTACACAGATGCAGGAAAGGCGTGGGTTAGGATGATAATGTAGCATCACAGAGCCGCATAAATCTCGAGCATGCACGATTATCAGTTTTTTATGAAGACCGATCGTTTTTCTCGCCAGCAAACTTTCATTAGTGACCATTATTCGCATTTGCGCGTCATTGTTTTTAGCATATTCTTTCATTAAAATTATCAAAGTGGCCGCATGAATGGAGCCAATATGCTCTGTATTTATTTTATGACGCAAATGTGTGAATTTACAAGCCAATAAGTTTTTGAAGAAGTTTATTTCGAAGTTATTGTTTTATCAAATCTACAATTATAAAATACCCCGCTGAAAAAAAAAAAAAACGTTCACAAATGGATCACAACGATTGTTTCTGGCAAACAGCGCCAGCGCTTCTCACATAGCTATAGCAATCCTGATCATCCCATTTCCCCAGGGTGTTCCCGTAATTCACTACGACACAGGTAACATCGTACCAACAACAGCCATCTGGTTGTGATGATCCCCAGTTTGTATAATTGACTAGGGTGTATCCGAATTGCTTGCTTTGTACTGGCTTCATCCATCTGTCAACAATCTTACGAACACCGATCCAGTATGGATTGTCATTACCATAGACTCCTTCAAAAAACGAAAATGACTTCAATGTGTTGCTTTTGTGAAAATTAACGAAAATACTGTAGGCTGCAGTGCTCTGTTTCTCATAATTTTGGCTCGGCATTTTGTTAGCTCTATACTACTATCAGATTTCTTTTAGGCAGCCTTTGAAAAAAAGCAGCCACGGGAGTGGGCTGCTACAGCTGGTATTCCCCACCACTCAAATTACTTTTGAGTGCTTTCGTCTCTGACAGAAAGAAAATGTGAAAGCGAATTTGGCTTGGTTTCGATTTTCTCCTATCAGCGTTGTTTTGTGGCATAAAACGAAAAGGATTATGGCAAAACCATACCTCCCCAACTGATTTAGTCTAGAGCCATGAAAACTAGAAAACCATAGTCCACAAACCAAAGTCCAGCCACAGGCTACGCACTAGATCAAAATACTGAAATAGAATTCCGGATTCTTCTAAGATTTATGTTTCAGATAGTTTTATAAGACAAAGATAAGAAATAACGACGCGCACCACGGCAGCCAGTAAGATCATACGTTTTGCGCAGTTCCGTTTAGCGAACGTTGTCTGCTAAGAATTTTCACTGCTTTCCATTCGGCCTGTGCAAAAATAATTGAAATATTGTCTGGTTTCTGAGTTGCGGAATTTTCACTAAGAATTTCGCGCACCGGCACGTGAAAGCTGGATTTGAAACCTTGGAAGGTGAATATTCTTCCGAAATTTCAACCATCTAATTTCCTGACCTTCGAATGATTTTGCGGTAAAACTTTCACGTTGTCGCACTTGAGTCCTTCGCATGTTTAGGAAATGAATTTGAGTTCGTGAAATCCCTGTTCAGGCAAAAAACGTCCTCCAGAGATTTTCAGCATCCTAGCTTTTCTGACTCCCGAGATAATGGTTTTTCCCATCAAAGCTTTTACGGGATTGTTGAGATCTAGGCGCATGTGAAAACTGAGTTTGAATTTCATTGCTGTACTTCGGTAGGGGAAACCACCCCAAAATTTTATTCCTCCAACATACACGGTTTTCGAGACAACAATTTCCCTGTCAAAACTCTCATGGGGCTGAACATGACAGCTAAGCACGGAAAAGCTGAATTTTGATTTTATGGGTCGCGCGTGGGCATAAAATTTCAGTTTCTTAGCTTCCATGGGCCAGAACATTGACGAAGGCTGAATTTAAATTTGCGAGGTCACACATGGGTGGGCAACATTACCCTAACTTTTCAGCTTTCTAGTTTTTAGGGTGCCCTAGTTGAAAGTTGCGGGCAAGATGCATCGGGTACACACACATACATACAAGCACGCAGGCAGACAACCCGTGACAATATGCGTTTGTGCAGCTGTCGTGCAGCACCAAACGCATAAAAATTTTAAATTGGCATTCGCGTTTTAACTCATTATCTGAGACAGGCTTTCAAGCTTCGTTATGATCGCACCCAAGGTGGGTCCTTGCTTAAGCTTAAATCTCGAGCGGAGGAACTTACGTAGTTGTAAATTAGCTGAACAGGTCAAAAAATCCCCAAGACTCTACTAGCTGAGAATAATGCATTCTAAAGGAAAATGATTTCGTTGCCCTTCTGTTGCCTGCTTGGATATTTTCATCGCTTACCTGACTTCGTATAGACTCCGTATTTGCTCATCAACTACTGAACATGAACTTACTTCGTATAAACGCATCTTGCAGGGCATCTTCGGGTGCGGCAATAGTTGCGTTCCAAGCAACGCATTTTTGATATGCTCTCATGTAGGAAAAGCACTCATAAACCTGAACCACAATTAAAATTTTTCAGAAAATCTGTTATAAGTGATAAGTATATGTGGAAGACGATGAAGAAAAACATGCCTTGCATAGCACTGACGTCCAGAAAATTACCTCCAGACGATGCAGAATTATTCTTACTGCAAAAACTATGAGAGGCATAGACGCGGAATCTAGGTGAGATGAACAACATAGCATGTTCGTATGGGTTCGAATCGCTTTATTCTAATTCTTGAAAGAGAGGACAGAGGACAGCTAAAAAGCTTGGCCAGCGCATGACCGCTATGGTTGGTAATTCATTATCACTGTTTCCAGAAGAAAGTGCTTAAGCAACTGTTGAATGCAAAGCGCAGGAAGAATTACGGGCTTATTTTTGGGTAGCGTGAGAGGAACTGGCACTGGTACTTCACTACACGTGCAAGACCAGTCTGCCTACTGTTAATGCATCAAAATGTTTGATGTGAAATAATGCATGATAAAGGGCTACTAATAAGAAATCAACTCACCGGATAGTAGCACAGATTACCTGCTGGATACCGCACCCATTCTTGCGGACATCCTGTAAAATGATCTCATTATTTGCGAACTTTTATGATCTCATTATTCGCATAAAAAACTGCTGTGCTAGAAGCAAAAGTCAGAACTTTACTAAGGAAATAAGTTTTTATTCGCATATATTATGAAGCACATGTAAATATGATAAAGTTTAGGACCGAACATACTTTTTTATTGACATTTGTGACTTTCAAAAAGCGTTTGGCGCCTTTTATTTAAATTGTATAATTTAAAAAAAATTAAGCTTTCTGGTTATCCTTATGTAAAAAAAATGCTTTTTCATGAACAACAGAAAGCATGCCCGTATACTGTAGAAGAAAGACAAATTTTTAATTGTGGATCATTTTGCCAGTTTAAAGAAAATGTTGCGATTCCTCAGATAAGCGTAATCTTCACGCAAGATAATACTACTTTTTTTATTTAATTTGATAAAGTTATTAATAACCATGTATACAAATACATAAGAGTGGGAAGTGTGATATAAAAAGTGTGAAAATATATTAAAAATGAGCAGAGGATCAGAGTTGTTTCAGTCCATTAGGTGGTATACATTTCGACTCAGCCGCCACAACTGGACCTCGTTACTATGACTGATAGTTTGGTCAGTGTTTCATAGTATAGTCCTGTAAATAAACAGCTGGTAACCTCTCCATTTGTTTTGACCGATGCTATGTGGCCTAGTGCCAGCTTTTTGACAATCATAACATGTGTCTAGTTCCTTGAGAAAATCAACAGCTTATTGATCCTCTTGACAGAAACACTCGGTATAGTTTTTCTTGACGGAAGCCTTGGTCGTTTCTAGAAATTATTGGTGTTTGTGTAGAATAATCATTAGCTTGTTTTTTGCGTATTTGCATCTATGCAAATGCAACCCAGGCTGAAACGCACCAGGCGAGCCGGTGCGACATGCGTTTTTGCACCAGACTCGAAATAATTTGGTTAACTGCTACCTTGTGCTCTCAATACCGTAACTCATCGCAAATTTCGCATAAAGGAAAATAAACAATATCCGTTTAGCGGTAGTTTTCTGGAAATGACCCAGCCGTTCAATGAGTAATTTCCCGCCAAAAATTTGAGTGCCCGTGCACGAGAGCCACGCACGCCTGG